CACACACACACACACACACACACACACACACACACACACACACACACACACACACACACACACACACACACACACACACACACACACACACACACATACACACTCACACACACACACACACACACACACACACACACACACACACACACACACACACATACACACACGCACACACACACACACACACACACACACACACACACACACACACACACACATACACACACACACACACACACACACACACACACACACACACACACACACACACACACACACATACACACACACACACACACACACATACACACACGCACACACTCACACACACACACACACACACACACACACACATACACACACACACACACACACACACACACACACACACACACACACACACACACACACACAGCTGTTAGGTGAATTAGCGTCCTTGTGGGATGAAGCACAGATGGAGGTAGAAACCAGGAACCCTAAGCTGGCCTCTAATGACCCAAAATGTGTGTGTTGTTTGTGTCTACCTGTGTCTGACTTAATTTTACTTTATCACAACCTAGAAACACTGGAGTGTGTGTGAACTACTGAGATTGGTTCCAGGTAAATGCTGTGATTTAGGGAGGAAGACTGAAACCAACATAATGGTTTCCAAACCCCTTGGCAGAAACCACAGCTGCTGTGTTTCTAATGTCAGATCGCTGTTTTCCTGTCTCCGCTGTTACATTTTACATTTTGCACTAATAAAAGTTGGAGCTGGAGGAATGAATCCAAAGTACAGACAGATGATTTTTCGTCTGTTTAGTTGAAAACTACCTGACGTTTTCCTACTTTTAAACATGATAATATTAGACCCCGGATTGACACTTTTTAGACTCCCACACAGAAAGGTGTGATGAAGAAGAAGCATTTACACGCCTGAAACTCACTGGATGTGTTTCATACTGCTGAAGTTGAGGGTGAGTAGCTTGGTTTCAGTAGAGGCCAACTGATCCAGACTTTGAGCTTTTTCTCACTCTTCTCCGTTTCCTCCTCAGATCTGTTAATGCTATTAAATTGGGATTTTTACTATTCCTTTGGTCGAGGTCAGGTTTCTAGTTCAGAAAAAGAGCCATTAAAAGGATGCGTTTTGCATCACATTATGATAATTTATCTCATTTTTCATGGCTAGTCAAAGATCAAATGAAATCTTAATCTGAGATATGAAATGTATTGATGCTGTTCCAAAGACGTAGAAACACAAGTCAGAAGATCAAACGCTGAATATTAATGGGCATCATGTCATTTATTATAAGTAGTGTTGTCATGAGATTAAAAAAATGATAGATTAATACAATTTTAACCTGTAATTAATTAATCTAATTAATCTTTTTTCATCTCAGCAAACATTGCTTATTAAAGCTGCAATAGCAAATCTGTAAAACAAGCTAGCTTTTAAACACAATAAACACAAACGCCCGCTGTTTCTCAATATGCATACTTGTCCAAACCTGCGTACTCACGTTTTTGTGAAACGTCATCAATGATGGCCCAAGGATTGTTCCAGTCCTAAGTACGCATATTGGAAAGTCTGCTCAAAGTTCCCAGATGTGTTCAAGCTCCGCCTATTGAGGATACATCAAAGCATCCTTCTGGGGACAGCAAAGTTTCCCATAATGCATAGCGCTGCAAACTGTTAAACTTCGAACATCAGAGGAAAAAGCTAATAACTGTAATGTTTTACATTAGAAATACAAATAAAACAATATAAAGTTGTCTGTTATTGTAAACAATTGTGTGTAACCTGTAAATGTTGCTGTGTGTGTTTGAGTTTTACTATTCACAATCCCTAAAAATGCTAATTAGCTGGCCCACTATCAAAATAAAAGCAGAGTTGTTCTGTTCTGATGAAAAATAAACTTTTTATTCATTAGAATGTGAGAAATGCTAGTATTTTATTAGTTTTGATCAAAGTGGGCCAAATATAATACTTTTTTGTTGCTATTTTGTTATCTAAGGAACAAACTAGACTTTTATTTTTATGTCAAGTAGTTTTTTTAACCGTAGCAAGAAGAAGCGCTTGTTGCCAAGACACAGTGGAGTACGGTTCTGTTCCAAATGCCATTTGCCATCCTTGTCCTCCCGTACTTGGCAGAACAGACTTTCTGGTGTCTTGCCAAGAATATACGGTACTTGTCTAGTACACAAGAACGTACTAGCATTCATGAGTATTGAGAAACAGCAACAGTCACAGAACTCTCACTCCTCCCCTCGGCTATCACCCCAAGGCCACGCCCCCCTGATACTAGAGGCCGAATTGCTTTCTAGGTCCAAAAGTCTTTTATTTTCCACAACTTAAAATGGTGTGTTTCTTTTTGGCACTTCTTTTTTTTCTGATAGGAAGTTGTAGAAGCCGGCAGTTTTCCCTTCTCTGAACTTATTGAGCGGACAACTTCTCACACCAGTGCTGTTCTGTTAGTTACATGAGTACGTAATGAGGGGCAGACCCACCTTTCTCTGGAACCACTAATTACCTCTTTCTTATTAAAGCTTATATCCAGAGAAAATCTCTTATCCGATGGCACCATCTAGTGGCTGACAAGCATATCACACAAAAACTCTGTTGCTGTTTTTCAAAGATGGTGACTTCACGTTTCAGTTTATATTTTTTTATTTAACCCTTATTTAACCAGGAAAGTCCTTTAAAAATTATAAATAAGTTTATAAATGTGCTTCTATAGCCGACAAACAGAGCTAAAACACGTTGTTTTACAAGTATTATTCTCATGTCATGTTGTTTTCGCATACATTTCTATTTTAGAGACGTACTTGTCCGTGAAAAGTTCATCAACTCTGCATCAGCTGAGGTACTTCCTTAAATTTGAAGCAAGTGGTAATCTAACGATGTTGGTTAATTTTGATCGGCGTTCAGTTTTCTGTTTCACAGAGCTCTGCGGGGCAGGGGGCGTGTTTAGCAAAAAAAAAAAAGGTGTATTGCTTACATTATATCACAGTACATGATAAGTTAATCACTTTTACGGATTTCTGACAAATCATACATCATTCCTGAAAGGGGAAAACTCTGGAAAGCAGCTTTAACTTTCTCTTACCTTTTCCTTACATCTTTTTATTACTATTGTTTTTCGTTTTTCTCCTTTTTACAAAATTTTTAATTTTTTTTTTGTTGTCTTTGTTTTTGTGAAGCGCCTCGTGAATTTTATCTAGAGAGGTGCTTTATAAAACACAGTTTCTTCTTCTTCAACTGAAGTAAAGCTTGACTTTGACCAAAATGTCTAAAGTTAGAATCCACCCACTTGCTTACCATATCTATTAGTGTTCCACCCCTTTCCTGTATATGTTCACTTCAGCTATCATCTTGAGCAATCAGCATTCAAACAGCATTTCTAGTTTATTAGTAGTGCTATTACTTTTGATATTAAAAATGTGAGCTTGAATAACAAATAACACGTGCACATTCACACCAGGAACACTGTTCCATCCTCCTAGACCAGGACTATTTAATTCTGGGCCTCGAGGGCCGTTGTCCAGCACATTTTAGTGCTTTCTCTGGTCCAACACACTTGATTCATCAGGCTCATCAGGCTCTGCAGAAGCCTGTTAATCACCTACTAATTTAAATTAAGTGTGTTAAAGTAGGGTTAAAACAAAAACATGCTGGATACCAGGTCTTGAGGACCAGAAATGAGTAGCCCTGCCCCAGACTGAGCCTTTCTGGACAAGCCTGGGGTCTCATTTACCAAACATTGCGTAGAATCCTTACTAAAACCGTACTTAAGCTCAGCAAAAAAATTTTACTTATGCCAAGTAGGTTTGTGATCTATCAAACATGGAGTACGCACAGCTGCACGCAATCTCCGCTTCATAAATCGGAGACTAACAAGAATGTCTCTCAGCTGCTTTTTAGTCACATCCCGCCCTCACCACGCCCACTTACTGCCATAAATAGTCAATGCAAGGTGCCTTGTGGACCTCGTGCATATACATAAGCCGGCTGTTGCAGCGCTCTGCCAATGACGACCGTAGATCAAGGCAGACCAAGGAAGCGCTATTTCACAGAAGCAGAAGTTGAGGTACCTGTGGGTGAGGCGGAGAAATGAAAGGAAGTGCTTTGGCAAAACAAATAAGAGAAAATCCACGGAGTGGCACAGCGTTGCTGAAGCCGTCAATGTTGTGTTCTTCAGAGAGATCTGTGGCGGATATAAAAAAAATGGTCCAATCGGGATTCAATCCCCAGACTCCCGGGTGAAAGTCACGCGCCCTAAGCAGTCACCCAAACAGAGATCTCCCCTGTACAAGTAGCCAGGGTGCATGATCAATCGGGTCACAGTGACAGGACACACACTGTCACAGACGCATGATGTTCTGTCTCAGTCTGTCCCCCTGCTGATATTCTGCATTCCCTATTCTGCGCTTCAGGCTGTGTGTGTGTGTGTGTGTGCGCGCGCACATGTGTGTGAGTGTGAGTGTGCGCGCGTGTGTGTGTGCGCGCGTGGGGGGTCTTGTTCTGTGTGAAAACGAAGCGGTACAAGTGATAATGCTGCTGGAATTCATAGTTGTACCTTCTCAGCAGCAGCACTGCAGGTGCTCTCCATGTCCAGCATGTGTGTAAGCCAGGTCCTTAGTCAACTTAAAGCTGCGCACATTTTTCCGCTAAGTTTTCTTTCATAAACCCCAAAGTTTACGTGGAAAGCTGCTTACGCAGTTTTCCGACCCCGTTTTGTGCGTAAGCAAGCTTGATAGATGAGGCCCCAGGACTGGTTGGTGAACACAGAAACAAACTTAAAATGAAAGTGCATGCAACTCTTGAGACGTTTTTCAAAGTATAGTAAAGCATTCGTGTTCTGTAGATTAACAAATATAGGAAAATGTAGAAGGCTTTAATCTAAGCAGTTTATTTTACAGTTTAAGTATCACAGTGCGCATCTGTCTCAGAACCAAAATGTTGAAATGCAAAATAATCGGGACATTTAGTTTTGTAGTATTGACTTGGTTCCTTCTTGTAGGTATGTTTATGACGTGAGTGTCCTGACAGCCATCCAGTCATGGTGCTGAGGTGCAGCACCCCTTCTGTCTGCAGGTCGGCTGCAGCGTGGTTTCACCTGCTGGTTTCATCACTGCTGCTGCTGCAAACGGTAAAACGTGCATCTGTTATCTGTTTGTCCATGACAACCAACTCACTGAGGAGTCATACCGTTTTCTATTAGCAGTAAATTTTGATTAAGTGAGTTGCAGATTTGTTAATATTATATTAGTGATTATTTTACAAAAAGGTTCATCGTCCCACTAATCTGCATGTGTTCTGTAGCTTGTCTCTGTCTGTGGAGTACCATCCTGCCCGCGGAGTTGCAGCTGCCCAGGAACTAAGGAGGTCCACTGTACATTCAGACACCTCACCGCCATACCCAAAACCTTTCCTAAAGGCACAGAAAGGCTGAACCTGGGGTAAGACTCAAACACTAGACTAGAAGAACCCTTTACTGTCCCTCAGTGGGGACATTTTGGTGTCAGAGCAGTAATCACATCCTCAACAGGAGCAAAGAAAGTTAAAGAAGGAGAACCTGCAGCCCTCCGGTTACGGGTCAGGCCCTTAACCCCTCTGCCACCATTACCCTTCCGTATCCCTGCAGGCGCTTTAGACCTCTTGCTCCCACCTTCCCACTGCTCACTCCTGAGCAAGACCACCACAATGCACGCTTTTTGGGTAAAGAACCATGGCCACAGGAATAAGAGATTCTCTTCATAAACACTGTAGTCTCCTATGTGTCAAGCCTGTGAATAATCTTACATAAGTGTGAATGTCTGAACATGTACGTTTGTAAATTATTTCACATTTGATCCAGTTTTTAGTTGTTTCGTCGAGCTCCTGCAGGCCCACAAGGTCAGATCTGGACTCTAATCAGACACAACTTTGTTTCCAGTCCCTCACAAAGTTTCACTTTTTCACACGTTTGCTATAAATAGAACTAATTAATAAGGGTTTTCAATGCCTTTTATGTGAACATTTATCAGATTTTTGTCATCACTTTTTCTCGTGATCAACATTCCAGCAAAATGAGAGCAAGGTCACACGACTAACGCAACGAAATGGAAAATCCAACTGGTTGTTGCTCACGGCAGCTGAAATACGTTTACGTGACAGAACAGAATCTTACCTTTTTACCATGAAGGAGGCCCAGTAAAACAAAACAAAATCACCCCGCCGTCTTCAATGATTTTCATTTGATAACATCTGCTTTAAATCAAAAAGATAAGGACTTAGCACCCGCATGAGGTACTCCAGTCAAGCCAATGGTTTCCATGTGGATCTCTGTTTCCCAGACAGAACTTTCACCGACCTCGAACCCAACTCACTGTTTCTGCTTTGGTTTATTACCAGTGCATATTCTCCTGATGAGCAGCAGACACCAGCATGTTAGCAGCGAAGTGTGGGATGGGTTGCTTTTATTGTTTTAATTCTTCACAAGACTCAGTGCTGATTTAAATCATGTGAATTATTATCAGAAAGATTTAGAATCAAAGTTTCAGTTTACAGAAGACAACGAGTTGTGGAAACACCACAGCATGCATGAATGCTAACTTTCTAGCTCGGCAGGGCCGCGGCTGCAGGGTTTGGTTTTTACAACCACCCTCTGACCATGTTGATTAAAGTCACTGCTAAAGAGAAATAACTCTCACCGACTCTGTTTTACTGATCCACGTTAAACACATCACTGTGGATTCATGTTTTCTATGAATGCTGCAGGCAGCAGCAGCAAATTCTCATTATGTGGACCATCAGTTAGCAGTCACCCCATACTTCAGGCAGCAGAGCTGTGGTGGAACATGAACTCAGCTGCAGGGACTTTGTGTATCATGAAGGTTAAGGTGGAAAATATTTGCTTTCAATTTGATTTTTTGCATTCAGATTAATTTATCATTGTGTAATAAACATGTCAGAAAACAAAATGCTCAGGTTGGTCTAAATCAGTGTTTCTCTATTATCTTCCATGACTCACCCAAGGGCGCCCCCAAGGGGTGGCCAGGTGTGACCATGGCCACCCCTAGAAAATTGCCCCCCCCCCCCCCCAAGGAAAAGCCAGTGTTAACAAAAGATATTAATGTTCAGTCAAACCATATATTGATCTTGTTTATTCAAGACATAATTGTAAAACAAAATAAAATATCACAATTAATGCATGAAGTAATCATCAGAATAGAAAAAATACACGTTTCTTTAATCTCCAAAGTTTTTTTTAAACACAGCAACAGGTGAATTAACCTAAAAAAAATAAGTGTTTTTATTGAATTTGGGATAACATTTTAAATAGCTGAAATGTATTTTTCTAAAATATTTGTTTGTGCTTGTAAAATTTCAGTTAAATGTTTTGGATACTTAGTTCCTTTAATTAAACACAAATTAAGATGTAATGCACCACAGACTAAATTCAACCAGAGTTACCACAAGGACCAATTTGGTGTGCCACCCTACAAATATTTCTTTGGCCCCATCTGGCCACCCCCATCAAAAATTTCTGGAGGCGCCCCTGGTCGTTGGGTGTTTCAGAGATGGTCAAAAAACTAGTAGAGAGCTGGTGGATCGCTTTGTCGCACGGTGAGGGAACAAGGACCTAAACCTGAATGTGGAAGAAACAAAAGACATGATTGTAGATTTCAAAAGGAAAGATCAAGCTTCATTTGCATCATGGGAGATGAAGTGTAGGTGGTTGAAGGATATAAATACCTCAGTGTCCACCCAGAGAAAATCCTGGACTGGAGACCATACAGTGAAGCCATCCACAAGAAGGGACATAGTAGAATGTAGTCCCTGAGGAAGCTCAAGTCCTTCAAGGTTAGCACCAGGATGCTCGGACCTGAAAAGGCTCAACGACTTGATCAAAAAAAGCGGGTTCTGTTCTGGGGACTACTGTGGAACCACTGGAGATGATAGATTCTTTATTAGACCTGTCACAACAAATCTGCAGAACAACCTCGGTTTTGAACGCAAATGCAGACACGGAACACTCACCCCCCACTCTCAGGTATCTTCTCTGAGATGTTTCTGCTGGAACTGGAGCTGGAACTGGAAATCCACAATGCTAAATAAAACTAATGTCTCTTGCTGTCTTTGCAGTCCGGGACTTCAAATGGTGTTTTTATTTTTGGGACTCTGGTAGTTTGTCCTAAAGTAGTGGTAGCAGCCGACTGTTTCTCCTTCTCTGACGTAGAGAGCCTGAGTCATGCCCATTCTGGACCATGGGTCTCCAGAAGAACAAAAAATGAATGCAAGTCAATGGGGCTAAAAACGCTGTTTTCTAATCCTGTTAGCTATGTGCCGTGGATTTCATATATGATGTCTGTGAATTTCAAAGACACATTTTGATGCCAAGAAAGCGCTTTTGAACAGGGGAAAAGTTATTTTAGGTTTTATATTTCCAGGACAACCAAAGCGCATCATTAAAGTGACATAATCAAACCAGACACGCTGTGTGTGTGTGTGGGGGGGGGGGGGATTCTGTGGTGATGTCATGTATGCAATGTACCGACAACTGTCATGCTAATTACGTACTTTTACAAGCTGATAAATCTCGAAGTCTGTGACTGGCGTGGTTGAAACACACATCATTACCCTTCATTTAAATTGAAGAACAACGTATGTGTGATCCAGGGCGTAAGGCAAAGCGGATTAGAAACTAACGTTGTCAGCCCCGTTGACTTACAATCATTTTTCCGTTCTTCCGGGGACCCATGAGCCGACCGGAAAGGGAGGAGACTTGGGCTCCCTGTTGTTGAGCAGAGAACCTCTCACACCAGTGGTGTTCTGCTGCAAAATAGGCGAGTGAGTAATGAATGGAGGACCTAGGTGTGGGAAACAGCCAGATGGTCCAATAGTTGCGTTCAGTCCAAAAGGTGATGTTGGCGGAGGTTTTGAGACAAATGTAAAAGAAGCATTTTCTTCATTTTAAATCTCCACAACGTGTTTATAGCTAAATAATGTTAGAGCATTGTTAAAAGGCATGAAAAACAACATTTTATGCTCATTTGTTTTACAAAGCTATTTGTTATTTATTGTAGCTTTGAATTAAAAAAAGATGGACAACTCTGAGCATCCTCTTCATGACACCGTCATACAACAAGTCAGAGGCTTCTTCAGACCTGCTGTCACACAGAGTGCTACAGCAGCTCCTTCCTTCCCACAGCCATCAGCATCTTTAACCCCTCCTTTAACAAACAAACATGAGATCATTGTTGTTGCTATTATTTTTATAAATAACGAGTTTCTCTATAGGGATGAAGGATATCAGTTTAGGGGAGAGCTCCATTTCTAACAGTCTGCCTTTAGAATGACACAGAAAAATGAGTGTGTCTCAGTTTGTGGAGTCAAGTTTTGGAATGGATTAAGTTCAGTCATAAATCAAAGTCCAAACATTCTACAGTTCAATAAACGATATAAAATGATGATTTTTATTAACTACAATCAGACTGAAGATCTCCAATAACTGTAATTCACTATCCACTATGTATTTGTACAGGGGTTGATTCAGGGGTGTGTGTGTGTGTGTGTGTGTGTGTGTGTGTGTGTGTGTGTGTGTGTGTGTGTGTGTGTGTGCATATGTAAGCAAATTAGGTGCATAGGTGGGTATATATGCATGGAAGTACAACCGTGCATTTGTATACATATGTGTGTATGTCGCTTCTGTGTATATATGTATAGAGATATGTACATATGCGTATTTTGGTGTTGTACCTTTGTGCTCATGCTTAATGATGTATACATGAGTGAACACATATTAATTTATATCCGTTTGTACCTACACGGGCTTACAGAGTCTGCTAGGATGACCGCACAGGAGAAGCTCGTTTATATGTTGACTCCTAATCTGGATAGAAAGAAGTAGGATCTAATATGCTTCAACTTCATCCTACTTCATGGCAGAATGTATATAGATTTGCACCTTCATGTTCATAAAAACAACAAAAAATATAGTTTGTTGCTGCTGCCCATCAGATTGATGTACAGTTGGGTCCATTTGAACGGTCCTGACAAGCTAAAACTGGCTCGATGTTTTAACCACGGAAGATATCTTTCTATGACTTTTTTTAGCTTACTTAAGTAAATCACGTAGCTCCATGGAGCTTTTGATTCCTGACGGAAACATAAAAGGTTCTGAAGTGACTCTACCAGAGTGAGACTGGGTCTTTCTAAACAAGAGGAGACCACCCAGTAAAATGAAGGGTTTTATTCAAACTGCAAATGTTTGGGGATTTTAGTCCCATTCAGGAACGGCCTAGCTTACGTTCAAAGAGAGCCTGTTTGAACTCATAGGAGAACTGCTGTGATAAACAAAAGGCTTAGATGGAGCTGTTCAGTGAGTGGCATAGATGATAGCATGGACCACCAAACAGAAACCCACAGGCTATCTGGTCACCATCTGGCATTTCTCTGTTGCTGGATTAGGGTTCAGCAATAATAAGATGTAGAATGTTCTGAATGAGACTTCAGAGAAATGTTCCAAAAACAAGAGGTCTATACTTCTGTTCATGTGTTGGTGTCCAATCATCAGCTTTGTGAATGTCTCCTGTATGCTGAAGGACTGGAACTGGTTGTGTTAAATGCAAGAAGGATTGAAGTTCAGCTTCCAGTAGAGATATCCACTCTAAAATGTGTGCATTCATGTTAATGTAAGACACTCTAGATGAAAGTGGAGTCTTTGTCATTTACAGCTAGTTGGCTGCTTTTTCGGATGGTCTGGTGGAAAAACTCTAAAACCTCCCGTATGTGCGGTTGCACTAGGAAATATGCAACTGTGTGTGATATCCAGGTGGGGCTCAGAGTAGAGCTCCTGCTTCTCCAGCAGCAGCTCTCTCTTGCACAAGAGAGGTAGTTCTATTCTACTTTCCCCATTTGTGACATCACAAAAGGGGACTTTTTGAAACGGCTTATTTTAGACACAATTTCGAAAACCAAACACTAACAGAAAAACTGATGAATGGATATTTTTTCATGTATGGAAAGTTTAAAGAGGCAATACAGACCCACATAACCACGCAAAATGATGAGCTGAGCTGGTCCGGCTCCGTCAGATCCACAGCCTCCAGGAGTTCCAGCTGGACACTCAAACCTCCCTGATTTTCCAGGAGACGTCACTTTTCCAGTCATCGGCTCCACCACTGGTCCAGTCATCAGCTCCGCTGCCGGTCCAGTCATCGCCAGGTCCTGCGCCTCCGGTTCAGTCATCGCCAGGTCCTGTGCCTCCAGTCCAGCCCTTCCAAGAGGCTCCGCCCCGGCCCAGCTTGTCCAAGAGGCTCCACCCCAGCCCAACCTTGTCCAGGAGGCTCCACTCCGGCCCAGCTAGTCCAGTCGTCAGCGCCTAGTCCGGCACCTCCAGTACAGTCGTCAGCACCTCCAGCCCAGCTGTCAGTGCCACGTCGGGCGGCGCCAGCCAAGGAAGCAGCCCCGTCTGCAGCAGCACCACCCGTCCATGAGTCTCCGCCTGCAGCGACTCCGCCTCCACTCAAGTCGGCGGCCCCTCCTGCAGCGATTCCGCCTCCACTCAAGTCGGCACCTCCCCAAGACAAGTCAGGGGCTCTGCCTCCAGTCCAGTCAACACCTCCAGCCCTGTCGACGCCTCCAGCCCTGTCGACGCCTCCCCTCAAGTCGGCGCCTCGCCCCAAGTCAGCTCTTCCACTCCAGTCACCTCCTCTACTCCAATCAACTCCTTTACTCCAGTCGGCACCTTCAGCGCCTCCACTCCGGTCACCGCCTCCTGCCAAGTCAGCGGCTCTGCCTCCTGCCGAGTCAGCGACTCCCCCTGCAGCGGCTTCGCTTCCAGTCACCGCTGGCCCTGCCCTCGCCAGCCGCAAGCCTCCCAGAGCCTGTTGCCGTCTCCTCCTCTGCCCCAGACGCCGGCCCTCCAGAGCCCGTCGTCGTCTCCTGTGCGCCAGACGCAGGCCACCCAGACTCCGGCCCTGCTTCCTGTGCTTCAGACGCAGGGCCCTTAGACTCCGTCTTGGCCTGCGTTGGGCATCCGGTGCCGCCCTTTAGAGGGGGGGGTGGGGGTTATGTCACACTCCGTCCTGTCTCCCCGTTCTGTTCAGTCATGTGTCCCTGTTAATGGCTCCCACCTGCCTCTCGTCACCCAATCACCCAAGCTCCCAGCTCCTCATGTATTTAAACCCTCTCAGTTCTGTGTGTCTTGTCGGTTCATTGTTTCCATGTCCTGCGTGCGTTCATCATTAAAGACTTTTTACATGTTCCAGTTTGTCTGCCTGCCTGCTTCCTCCCCAGCATTTGGATCCTCACAACCGCTCAGCTCACCTGCACCGTGACACAGCCAAAGAAGGCTGGGATAAAGATAAACTATGTTCATTTTGTTTCTCCTTTACCTGAAGGGTCAAAGGTTATACATGTTGTCTGTTTTTCTTCCTCCAGTGTTTTCCATTTGTTTCCATGATCTTGTTACCTTAACCATCCCTGAGTGGAAGGAAATATTTAGCTCTCCCTCTTTCTCTGACTCTGAGTCTTTTTTTGGTTTCTGTTTCTTGCAGTTACAACAGCCTGACTGAGGTGGAGAGGTCAGAGTTCAGGTCCCTACGGCAACTGGAAATGCTCATGCTGCATGGAAACGACATTAGAACGGTCCAGTCTGGGGCGTTCTACAGCCTCAGGTCACTGCAGGTAGTGTGTGTGTGTGTGTGTGTGTGTGTGTACTCATCTATAAATCAAAGTGAGGACCAATGACAAGCTTTTTACCTGCAAACTGAGGATATTTTGCTGGTCCTCACTTTGTTACACTGTCACAGAGCTGTACTCGTTAGTTTTAGAGATATGGTGTGGATTAAGTTTTAGTTAAGGTTAGGAATAGACTGGTTAGGGTTAGGGTTAGGGTTAGGCACAATCCAGTCACTAAAATGAATGGAAGTCAACAGCGGTCCTCACAACGGCTGCTAGACGAGAATGTGTGTGCGTGTGTGTGTGTGTGTGTTCAAATCACCTTTTGATTTAATTTAATAAAACCTAGATTTTAGTGTACAAACGTGCCAAATTTCAGCTTCATGTTTTTGTTCATCTTTGCATGATTGCGTTTTGTCTGATCAGATTTTTTAGGAGAGGCAAACAAAGCAAAGATCTCAAATCGATCCTTTCTTCACATCTGCATCAGAATCTTTGCTGCAGCATTCCGATAAAAGCATCAGGTTAAAATCCAGGTTCTGGTTCATGCAGACTGTAGCACGGGGGAGGCGGCCTATTTATTAGGACACTTATTTGGCTTCATTCAGAAACAACTTAATGATAAATGAGCCACTAATGAGACCGGCACACAAGACTGCACACGGTCCATTTCAGAAACAGAACCAGGGCTATTCTTCTCCACCTGTTACCGGTTTTCTGCAGTAATATCGGGTCTTTGATGACTTCCATACGTTTCCAGTCACCAACTGAATTAGATTCTGATCAGAACATTTGTAGAGAACCGAAATGTGACTAATTCTGTCCAGCTGCTCGGCGTTGAGATTGTTTATGAGTTTATAAACTGAGTTTTGTTCCAGTCATTGTGATTTTTTGGTTTTATTGTTCAGTAAAAGTCAGAATAACTCCACCTTTAACCAGATCCTGAAGCTGAGCTACAACAAGCTCACGGCGGTGAATCCTGGCCTGTTTGAGGGTCTGGTTGGTTTGATCCGTCTCCACCTGGACCACAACCTCATAGGTTTCATAGAGCCCTACTCTTTTTCTGGTCTGACCTCACTGAAGCTCCTCCAGCTGGAGGGGAACCTCCTCAAAGAGATCCATCCTCATACCTTCATCACAGTGTCAGCACTGGGCAGCTTCTGGACCTCTGGGCTCAAGTAAGAAGCAGTAACTTTAGCTCAGAGATGATCCCAGTTGTCATCAACCACTTACTGAAGAAAGCATTCTGATGTGTTTGTCTTAGACACCTTCACCTGTCAGACAACTTGCTGGAGGTGCTTCCTGCCACGTCGTTAAAGACAGCTCCAAGGCTCGAGCTCCTGACGCTCCACGGTAACCCCTGGAACTGTGACTGTCAGCTCCACTGGTTGGTGCGATGGAGTGCTGCACACGATGGTACGGATTCCATGATTCAATCTCAGCAAACACAATATTCTTGCATTATTATCACAATGGGAAGTTTTGTCCTCCTGCTGGGTGTCCAGCAGATGTCTAGACAAATGTCGCCCTCTAGTGGTTAGAGACACAACAGCATTTCACACTCAGATGAACTTTATTAACCTTTCGGGACATTTTGTTTTCCGGCAGTAACTCATCAAACAGTAATCAGGAGGTTAAAAAGGAAAAGAGAGAGAGAAACAGAAATTATCACTATATCTAGAGGATGATAATAATATAGAGACATTAGTTGATAATGATGTCAGTGCTTAAGGGAAGTGTGTTTTTGTGTAACATGATAAATAATTACTGTCTTTCATGTTGTAGATGCAGCAGGATGTGAAGGTTTGGGCAGCCTTGTTAATCTTCATGATAAAACTCTGACTTAAACATTTAGGACACACACACACACACCCACACCCACCACACACACACACACACACACACACACACACACACACACACACACACACACACACACACACACACACACACATGTGAAACGAAGTTTATAGGATTTACAGAAAGGGTGCAATAATTGTTTGAACAAAATTAGGT